AAGGCTCACAGAAGAAGTGGCTCTTTAAAAGGGATTTGAATAAGAGGGTTGGGGGCTTTCGGTACTGGGGTTAGGAGATAATTCTGTGTATAAACAACATGGAAGGAGGTGTAAAAAATGGAAGTGGGAAAGAAAATAAAGGTGATGGAGGGGATGGTGTCACCAGTTGAGCAAAGGAGACAAGAAGGGGAATACAGTAAGAAACTGATACGTAAGCCAGGGTGGAGCTTTGTAGGGTCTTGAAGCTGAGAACTTAAAATTTGATGGACTGGCAAAAGGAAAAGCAGGGGAGATATTGGAAGAGTAATGACAATGGCTGTTTTGTGCTGAATTACACTGTAGCCAAAGGCAGTGTTTGCAAGGAGGAGGTGGGGAACCAGGCTTTTCTGCTTATGGTCCCTCTCCTCCACCCAACAGAAAAACTACCTGAAACTTGGCTCTTGGGGACCACATGGATTCCAGCCTGGCCTGGAGCCATGCTGAGCTGAGAATCCCCCTACAACTCTGGCACTTTTAGCTGCACTTTTATCATCCATAATTCTGAAGACAAGGTGCCACTTTACACTGGCGACAGTTTGGCCAGTTACTTTGCATTGTTGGGGGTAACAGATGTGCTCAGAGCTACTCTTACTGCTACTCTTACTCATTTTTCCAAAGAAAATATTAATAAATACCCAATGGGACAAGGTTTGGGGTTTTTTTACATTCATTTACACAAAATGCCCTAACATACACAATACACTTGTTATATAACTTAGCATCTTTGTTTTTAAATACTACTACTATTCATGTTTAGAGTCATGGCATGCAGGTAAACACCAGAGTAAACAATGGTAGAAAAGATATCTATGTCATTTATTACTGTAGTGAAAGTCTATGCACAATTATTGTAGTGAATCTTTTGCATGATGTCCCATGTGTCTGTTGAATACCTGAGGTGAAGACCAGTGCCCTATTGCAGTTAGTAGAAGTTTTGCCACTGACTTAAAGAATGAAATCCTGGTTCCACTGAAGTCTGTAGAATGTGGACATAAGAACAATTAAGTAAAGAAAGTCCCAGCAGCCAGAAAGGATATGGGGGTGAACGAGGCATAAATTATCAGCCAGAAAGGAAGGAAAGCACTAATAATACTTTGGCACTCATTTTTTGAAGCAGAAAGAATTAATCCAGCCCTAGCAATCTGCCTTTTAGGATGACAAGCTGTAACGTATCTGTCAAAAGTAATTTATTTTATTTTAATTACAGTGTTTCCCAAGTCTGTTACAGTCCTGCAGCACCTGTGCTGCTCTGGTAGGCAACAGATTCAGCAAAACACCTACAATAAATCAGCATTTACAACCTTCATCCCACCCAAACTATGTAACAGCTGAATGATTGTCCTTAATTGCAGTAGCATCATAATACAAGTTCGAACTGGATCACAGAGTTTTCTTCGCAAGACCTCTGAGAAGCTTAATGAGGCTTGAAGTAAGGGACCTACTACTCTGCATCACCCACAGTCATCATTTGCTTACAAACACTTATTTCTGTGTTAAAAATGCTTACAGCAGTGGCCCCCAAGCCCAACAGTAACAGTGTTGTGAGGATATAGCATGTTAGTCAATAGCTCTAGAAGACTGTAGTATATTCTTATAAAGTCTGCATCCAGTTTAAAATAAAGCTGACAGTAATGATCAGACATAATCGCAATTTGTGGATAAAAAAGTATTCATCAAGAACTTTTTTCATTGTTAAAAATATATTTTGGTACTTACGCAAATGCCTTGGCTCCTGAGTCTACGGAGAAAGTAACTTTTTGGAGGCATGAATCATAACCCACTGAAGTCCGTGGGAATTTCTCCATGGCCTTCCACAGGCTTTGGGTCAGGCCCTTTGTGCATGTATGTTTATTTGAAAGGAGCAAATTGACAGCTTATACAGCTAACTATTCCTGCTTGTTATATAACACCTATGTTTAATAGCATGTTATCGCAATCTCAACTATAAATGGTGCTATCACTCCACTTAAATAACCCTGATAGGTGGTTTAAATGCCTGTGGCTTCTTTGAATTTAAAATATGGATATATATTGCTCACTTCTTGACTTCTGGGAGCGGGTTCCTCAGCCCTGCTGTTTTGCTGCAGTGGAAATGATTAAACTTCTTTGGGAGTTCCCATGACATAAGTGCACTGAGCTAGAGGAAGGGTGGCGGGGGTGGGGGGGTTAGTTTAGTAATTACTTAGCCTATTAGCCAAGATAATGGTTTAAGGCCCAGTTTGCAGCTGGCATAAATAAATGTATAACCCTGAAGTTAATGGAGTTTGCCTACTTACTCCAGCAGTCAAGTTGGCCCTATAGGCTTCATTTCATGACTGACACTTGAGAAGGGCTCTCCACTTCCCTTACAAGATATTTTAAACTTTGAAGGAGAAAGTAATTTTCAAGCTTGTGCTGTGAAGGTCAATATAAAAGGATTATTTACTCAACAATAGATGGGAAGATACAAATTCTTCTAAATACAGTGCTACACAGTAAAATAGGAACACAGCCTGTGCCTAAATAATGGAACAAATGGTTTCTCTGGAAATGCAAGCCAGTGACTAAACAAGACACAGTTTAGTGCAGCTTGTTTTTCTCTATGTTTGGAAAGGTATTTTGCTCCCTGAAGTGTTAACAAGTAAGTGGCAACAGCGTTTGCTATATTCTGCAACTCTTATAGTCCTATTCAAGTTTTAAGAGGCCGGAATATAATCTACCATATAGGATAGCTATCTTTCACTGCCTCGGTTTTACTTAAGAGGATGGTTCAGAGGGAGGAGTGCTGACCCTCTGTAAGTGGAGAGGCTCTGATTATTAGCAGTCCTATATTAGTAATGTCATCAGTATGTCTGTTAGGCAAGGCTCGGTTTAATCACCCAGGGCTGAGAGGTGGCCTACATTACACTTGACTCAAGGGTCTTGGTCACCTCATAGCTGCCACTCACCTGGTTGCTAGTGTAGTTTAGAAAGGCTGCAACAATGTTTGAAAATATTTTTAAACATGACAATAAACAATAGTCTGGACTGTGCCTGGGGTATGGGTATTCCCAACTGCTAACCCAGGACTGATGTATATTTGCCTGTAGCCAGCTATTTGCAGAACAAAATGTTCCTAGATTCCCTCAGACAGGGAAGACTAAGGCCACGCTTTTTAGTGAAAAGAGGACACCTGTCACTCCGCGTCTGGAAGCTGGTGCATGCCAGGTCTGCAGTACATCATTGCTCTTGCTGGCATATGCCACTCAATGTTACTGGGGCATAGAAGAGATGGACACAGCCAACTAGGAGAGCAATGAATGACTATGGAGAGAGCATATGCAGCAATACACAGGGGAGAGTAAGGGTGTGTGTGTGTACACATATGAGAGAGACAAAGTCCTAGAACTCTGTTGGGGTGGGGAGTTGGGGGTGATGGAGGTTGCAGGGAAGGAAAACCACAAGCACATAAGTGAGCCTGAGAATGTCTGAACATGTTCAGAAAGCAGAGTCTCTTAACTCGCTTCAGAAAGAATGAGCTATTGGGTAAAATGAGACAGCCAATGCCTCTGAATTCCGTGAGAAACAATTAGTTGATTGGCAAGTTCCTAAAAGCTGCAGCTTCGCTGTCTGTCAGTGGCCTACAATTCCCCAGAGTCACTGCCTTTTGAAGGTTTTACTCACACGTGTGTTTATCTCATGGGAACCTGTCTGTCAGTCAGACTTTCCCTCTGCCCCCAATTTCTCTGATTTCTTGTGCTAGTTTTGTGGTCAAATTTAATCTCTATTTATGCCAGCCAAACCTATTGCAGAAAGACTTTGCTTTGTCCTAGATTCCCTCTCTCAGCAGGCCATAAGGCTAGAGACTCCTCTGCTGGAGAACCACCCTTTGTTTTTGTTTTGTGCTGTGCCCAGACCCGAAACAGATTTTTTTCCCCCTCCTGCCTGCTGTAGGGGAGTGTGGATAACTTACTTTGCAGATGCTGAGTGGCTGATACTTTTAAGCCAGATGCTGAGATTAAATTACTCTGTGGTCAATACTCCACGCTCACCCTGCAGGAAACTCTCTCGCTCAGAGCTGGCAATGGATCTTTATTTCCTGAACTGGCTGTTTTGAGATTCCCATCAAAGGCTTTATAGCCGTAGCTGTTGTATCTTTAAAACCTATTTAGCTTCACACCTGTGTGCAAACAGTAAATATGCAGCATTGGTACTGAGGCCAATACATTGTCACACTGTCTCTCTTTTGGGGAAATGCCCATTTAATATCTCCCATACCTCCTTCCTCTAAACCTTCCTCTGCTGTGAAATCTACATATTACTCCCATCTGGCATTGGGTAGGCAAGGGGCAAACCTTGACTTCTGTTGATCTGCTAAACTTTGTTTTATTGTTACTATCTCCTCCCAATCAGCATCCACCCAATTTGTCTGTTTTGTACACCAGTGGCGTCCTGTATGACATGTAGATTGTGGCCTCTCTGGGGTTGGGGTTGTTTTACTTGTCATATGTCTGTAGAGTGCCTGGCTCCATGAAGTCCTGATCCTTGACTGGGGTTTCAAGGTGCTACTGTAATAGAAATAAATAATAATAAAATCTGTATAGAGAATTAGAGATTTATCCAAGCCCAGGGAGCCAAAATGTTTGACATTGAGGGTTGCCAAGGCAGCTCAGCAGGAGCTTGTAGGCTGAATCTAATTTGCATATGCATTTATTTACATAAATATTTTTGTCAAAAATAAATGTGCCGAGCTGTAATATTTGCTTGCACTTTATCTTCCCTTGATAGATGAACAGATGTTGTTTGCTGGCCAAGTTCTTTGGCACTTAACATTCAGGTGATTGTCTTTGCTCCTCACACTGCCATCACAGGGAGCTCCCACAGACTTTAGTCTTTGCATCTCCAATTTAAGTTCTCCTAGTCCATCTCTAGCTCAGAGGGAAAGCAAGAATTCTACACATCTGCTAGGCCCAACAATGCATGGAGAGAAGAGAAGGCAGGTGTTCTATTTCCCCAAAATGTAAACGTAGTTTTATTTAATGCCTTTCATTCATCACAAGCTACTTCTCCCACCCACCGAAAAAAAGATGGCAGCATAAGGCACCATTTAGACACATGCACAGTCCACATACCATCTAGATCAGGTTTAAAAAACATAGCTATAATTCTTACCAACAGTCCCAAATGTCCTCAATACTAATGTACACAATATGATTGTCCACAGAGTTTATCGTGGAGAAAAGAACTATTAAATTAGAATTGTAGGACCCTCTGCCCTCCCCCCAAAAAGAAGATAAAAACAGATACAGAGCTTAATACCAGAGTAATAGGATTAGTTCATAAATTAAAAAAATACAAAAACCCCCAACTATTTCACTCTTATTTTCAGAAAGTCCCACATAATGTAATGAAGAGTCCAGTGAGCATGCCCAAAATTCCATACTGTGTCCTTTCCCCCCCTTTCAAAGCAAGAAAACTGACAAGTAGACCCAGGACTTCTAGTCTTTTGTGTGCTTCAAAGATATTCACATGGCAATAAAACAGTCAAGAGTCCAGTATCAGCTCTAAGAATCCATTTTAGCCATAAAACTGCAGGATCCCCACTGGGTGATTTGAAGGTTTTTCCCTCCATCCAATGGAAGAAGGATGTGATACATTGCTTTCCTGATGCAGATTCTTAAAGGCTTCCATACAATGGGTTCCCCTTGAAGAAAGATTACTGCAATTGTTGTAGGATCAGTTATATAAAATACCAAAGAATACATTGAGCTGATGTCTCTCTGAGTGAAGCTTGCCCAGCGCTGAGGCATTGGGGTCTGCTACAAGTACTCAAGTTCCAGGGCGTGCCTGAGAGCCTCCAGGTCAGCATGACAGGAGATTCTCCAGAATGGCATGTTGTGCTGGAATGAAACCAAAATATATTTTTTAAACACAAGGATCAAAAGATCTTTCATAGTTTGCACCCTGAACAATGGAACGTTACACCCTTAGCCGTGAACTCACAATATTGCTACAGAGATAAAGGATCATCTTAGAAATTAAAAGAGGGGGGTTTGGTGTCCCCTCTGCAGTTATGTGTGTGTGCGTCTGTAGAGACTAAAAAACATTGCAAAGTGCTGGAAATTGCAGAAACTTCCTGAGTTTATGAGGCACTTTCACATGCTGTCCTGCTTCGGAGGAAACAAGTGGAGCAGGGCAAGTTTCTGGATGCCTGCAAAGATTTTGTATTGTTATACACGAAAAACTTTACTTCCCATTTTCCCATTGGGTTTAGTGTGAATGTTTCTAGAATACTAATGTTCTTCGAAACAAAATCTTGCTGCTCCTTCCTGATGCCTAAAATCTATTGCAATAGGTGCCTTAGCAACATGACAGACAAGTGCTATGAGATTCTGCACCCACTCTGCAATCCTTTCCCCAGAACACATGCTCCAGGCCATGAAAACTACCTTTGAGTTGCCACCTCCCCATAGACTAGGAAGTTATGCAATAAAACGAAGTTGTTTACATAATCAAAAGCATGAACCATAAAGCAGTTGGTTTTATAACAATTACAGTTCACTCTGCAGGAAAGACAAACCCCACAGCAATCCGTAGGTACATAGGAATTGCCATAATAGATCAGGCCGGGGTCCATCTAACCCACTACCAGCTGTTTTAGAGGAAGATGCAAGAAACCTTGCACCAGGTTATAGGTTATAGGATAACCTCTTGGCATATACCAATGAAGTGCTCCTCGTGGCCCAGGACCCAGGAGACCTGGCATAGGTGGAGACTTGCCAAGCCATCTATTCAGCAGCCTCCTCCACCCCAAGTCAAGTGGGTCAAGAGCTCTGGCCTGATGGTTGGGGAGAGGTGCCAGACTGGCTTCCTCCCACTCGCGCACCAGATCATCCAATGGAGGTACGGGTCCACTGTTCTATCTTGATGTGTACCTGTCTGCCACTGATCCCTTCTCACTAGAGAATTGGATCGATCTGGAGGCCAGGGTGTCTGACCAGCTGTGGAGATGGACAGGGCTGCTCTGGTGCCTTTTCCTTTGAAGGAGACTCCAGTGCTTGTAGTTTGGCATGGAGCGTGCTCACATACATCTTCCTCCACTACCTCTGAGGGTGTCAAAATAACCAGCAGCAATTCTCTCTCTTCACCTGAGAGGTCTCCCTCCCGACCTCTCTGAGCTGCCAGTCTTTTACCAGGTCCTCCTCAGGTCCTGGAAGCTACTCTCAGCAGCCAGGTCTGCAGCGCACACTGAGGGGGGAAGATTTCCTAACAGACCCCTGCTATACAACCCACACCTTCGTGTGCAGGTAGTAGAGTCTCAGTGCACCAAAGAATGGTCCTGGCTGAGGACACCAGAATCTGAGACCTCCTGGACTACAGTAAAGAGGACTCTGCAGCGCCTGGCTAGCACATGGGGTTGCCCACTCTGCATGTCCCCCCTAGTGTGCTCCAGAAGGAGCAGGCAGCCTTGCCCCCAGCTTCTCTCACCTTTCTCAAGCGAGTCTTGCAGGAAGGTACTCCCTGCCCACCCCTGGCCCTCTGGAGCTCATCATTGGCCTCTGCCCCACAAACCTCTCCAGTCCCCCCCCAACACAAACCACCTGAGTTGGCTGAATGACATCTACTGGGCCTGTCTCCAAACTGCACCGAGAAAACACCTGTACACACTTGTACTTCATACCATCTACTTCCTCACCCTGACATCCTGCCCCAACTCCAACCAGTGGAGACCTGCTGTTCCACGGCCTACCAGAGGTATTAGTTGGTGGCTCCTTCATGGAGCTGTGAGCAGGGCCTTGGAGCTGGTGCAGTTCATGGAATCTCCCAGCACCTGCCCTTTCTGCAAAGAGAGGAAGACCCTGGCACATGTCTATGTAACATGTCTCGAGTTGTAGCTCCTATTCTAGAACTGCCTTCTGAGGTTCTGGCTGCACTTCGCTCTCCCCCCTCCTCATTTATGCACACCCCATTCATGGCCCCATGAAGTCATGAGACCACCTCCTCCTGGCACTGGCTAAGATGGCCATCCATCACACCAGGAGGAGGAAGCTGGATGGGGGTTGCTCTGCAACTGTGAGGCCTATTTCTGATCCCTTGTTATGTCATGCCTCTGAGTGGAGGTCTTCTGGGTGGTATCCACTGACTCTTTAGACACTTTTGAGGCGCAGTGGGTGCTGTCGGGGGATTCTTGGCTTGGTGTGCCCTTCCGGTGCCCTGCTTTTTTAACCTTTGACTCTCACTCCGTTCCTGTTTTTTCATTTATTTGTCGTCTGGGTTCAGTGGTTGAAGGGGCAAACTTTAGTTCTGGGCAGGCTTAGGCCTGCCCATCCCACTACCCGTAATAGGTACAGGATAACCCATCCCCAAGGAAGCTTCCTCCTGACTCCCATTTGTCAGAGGTTGGCTTATGCCCTAAAGCATGAAAATCTGAATCCTTTTCCAAACCCCTTGATTATTTTTTAGTATTTACTATTATTACTCTAAATATGTTTGTTCTCCATACAATTATCTAAGTCCTCGCTGGTCCTTCTCTATTGAAATATCCCATTTAAAAATACAGTAGAACCTCAGAGTTATGAACTGACCAGTCAACCACACACCTCATTTGGAACCAGAAGTACACAATCAGGAAGCAGCAGAGACAAAAACATTAAAAGAAGGCAAATACGGTACAGTACACTACTGTGTTAAAAGTAAACTACTAAAAAAATAAAGGGAAAAGCAGCATTTTTTTTCTGCATAGTACAGTTTCAAAGTTGCATGAAGTCAATGTTCAGCTGTAAACTTTTGAAAGAACACTCATAACGTTTTGTTCAGAATTACAATATTTCCGAGTTACGAACAATCTCCATTCGCAAGGTCTTCGTAATTCTGAGGTTCTACTGGATTCAGCTAAAATGATGTGACCTTCTTGCAGTCACCTTATTTTATTATGTCTCATTTAAAATAATGGAAACTATGCTTATGCTCTTTTGAAAGCCAGATTTATGTTTCCAAAAGAAAAAAATGCCAACTATTTGTGGGTGCCAGGAAACAAGTGATGTTCAAACACCAGGTGGGTCTGGTTAATATTCTGATAACTCTGTAGGTACAGTTTTGACAGTTGCGACCTGTGTTTAGTATTCTCTGTAGTTTTTATGGTCACTTCAGTTGTAAGGGGTGAATCTCAGAAGATCTGGAAGTTACATTCAGATCTTTATCCAAACTTCTTTGATTTGCTCTGTGTGGCTGAAGGTTTGAGTCGGTCCTTTTCTTAGCCAAACCAGTTCACTCATCCTAAGTTTGTACCAAAGACTGAGGCCTGGTCTACATGCACATTTTGTATAATGTGGTGTATACTGGTTTAATGGGCATACTGATATAATGATGTCAGTTAATGCCAAAATAGTGATACCGCTACAGTCCCCAGCTTGGGTTATAGAAGTATGAGCCTGCCTTAACTGGTTTAGCTTACTCCCCTTCCCATATATAGGAATAAGTTTAACTGTGTCACTAACGGGATTGGACCACTTTAACTGCACCCATACAGATAAAGCGGTCCAACTTGTGTGTCTAGCTAAAGCCTTAATCTGGTTTCTTAACATTACACATTCTCATTTCCCAAGCAGACAAAATAGTTGAAGGAAGAGGATCCTTCCTAGGGCTACTACCTGCTTAGGACACTGTAGTGAAACCAGATGTTCATTTTACATGGTGTCTATTTACACTCCTCTCTACTTAAATACAGTTCAAGCTCCTCTCTGCTATGTTGCCTATCAGTAAAAAAAAAATCTTCCCTTGATGCTATTTATCACTTTGTTTGTTCACTACACACAGCAAGCAAACACAGGGGCATCTGAAGTGACTACAATGCATTGCTCTGCAATTTCACTTTATAGGGGAAAAGTTATTTCCTCTCCCCCTCCCTCAGACCCCTGGTGGATATAAAATCCCTTCCACTTAAATTATCTACCTTCCTTTCTTTAAAAAGAGGAAAGCTTGGACACTCAGCCACACCTGCTGTTCAGCTCTTGCAGATTTATCATTTGTGGATAGGTGAAGAAAAATGACTCACTAAAACTGAGATATTATCAGTGCTGCCAGCAAAACAGTGAAAGGCTCTCTGCCCGCCCCGTTTTTTGTATAAAGTCAGGTGTGTAGCTAGCAGCCCTGACTAATGATTGTCATCAATCAAAGGCTGTGACAGCTCCAGCAAAGAATGTGTTCTCCTAATGGGAGAGTTGATTAAACTAGGAGACACTAGCAAGAGGCCTCTTGAAACCCTGCCTGTAGAAGGCTGCTGAACCTTCCTGCTGCTTCATACTCCCATGGAGCCTGGCAGCCTTTGATGCAGTCATGTGCACTGACCCACTACCTTTGAAGTCTAGTGCAGGGCTGTCAAAAGGGCAGGCTATTATCACTTCACTTTCAGTCCATGCATTTTGGGTACTTCGTGGAGGGATTCTTAACCCTTAAGGAACCAGCTAAACACCTGGAATCTGGCTAATTTCCAGAGTTTTTTTTGTTGGTGACAGGAATTGATGTGCCATGGTGGAAAAGGTTTTCTGGCTGCTTCAAGGCAGGACTGGGTTGAGACCCTGGGGACAGAGCAAGTGCTGACCCACCTTGTACCTGCTGGGATCCCCTCCTCCCTGAGCCTGTGCTTCCAATGTGAACAGCCTCGCCTGGCTGCTGCTTCCTGCCTCCTCATTCAGCCTAGGAACCAGCCAGGGAAAGTTGGGTTACATAGGATGGTCATGCATGGAGCACAAGAGTCTTAGATGGAGCTGCAGGGGGAAGCAGGAAGACACCCTGAAAAAGACGTGATCTAATGGTGTTTCTGGCCATGTTGAAACCAAAACAGTGGCATTTTTCCCATCACGTTTCTACCCCACAGAAAGTTCAGGACACCTCCTGACTCAGGGGTTCTTCTCTGAACTGTTCAGGGACTCCAACCTCCACTAACAGCCAGAAACCCTCAGAGGCAGTAATCCAAAGATTTGCAGTTTGATTTCCCTTGTCTGTCAACAGCTCCACCATCCTCACCCAAACTCACACAGCCTTAGTGAGTGGCATCCATGACTCTTCCCCCCTGTGCCCGAAGTTTCTGACTATGCCCTGCCATATTTTCTTATTTATCTTAGTTTTTTTCTACTGTGAAAGTCACTGTAGTATCCTCAGCCTCACCTCCAAATCTATCCTTCCTCATCACCATAAACCTGGCCTAGCCCTTGATCTTCTCATGGTATGCTATTGTTAGCTCTTCTCTCTGGCATCCCCACTTCTCCTCTCTCCGTCTTCCAGTCCACACAAAATGCAGTCACCAGGATGATCTTTCCTTCTCACTACTCTGATAATATCCACAGCAGCTGTTAGGCATGAATCATACAGGCAGTCTACACAGGGCACTGTAAGGGCACCTCTGGCTCAGCTGTCCTCCCACCCTGCATTGCCTGGGAGCGGCACCAGTATGGCTGCAGCCCCTTCCTGGGTGCCCACCACCCTGCATCAGTAGCACATGAGAGCTACAGTACAAGCACAGCTCCAATTCAGCTGCCTCCCCTTCACCACAGCTTTTCCGAAGGGGGAGACGTATGTCTCTTTAAGGGCACGCTCCATCCCCAAAGACATACTGTACCAGCAGCCAGGGCTCAGAGCCACTGCACCACCCCAGCAGCAGCACCACCACCATTCATGACTGTCTTCACTGCCATGATGAGAAGGGCATTTCCTAATAGGCTGGAAAGCCCACAAGAGCCCATGCTGAATGCCGTATTTCAACAGTTTGGCATCTGGTGCCAGTGGAAAGCAAGAAAGAGAGACATACAAATATTTTAAAAGTGAAGAATCAAAATGTTTTGAACTTCAATTAAAAAACAGATCAGTTTTGGATTCAGTTAGAAATCTGGGCAAAAGTCTAGATTGCATCTTACTGTATCTGAAATGTTCTGCTGATCCCTAACTGGAAGTCTCATCTGGTACCTAAAATCAGGTTGTGGCTTGCTTGGACTTTCCCAGTCAGCTGGCATGTGATGCAACAAACACTGGCTCTGCAGTTCTCTTCAGGATGCCAGTGACAAAGGGCCGTGTCTGTCCAATGAGTATGTAATACTCTCAGGATTCTGGTTTCAGAGTAATAGCCGTGTTAGTCTGTATTCGCAAAAAGAAAAGGAGTACTTGTGGCACCTTAGAGACTAACCAATTTATTTGAGCATGAGCTTTCGTGAGTTACAGCTCACTTCATCGGATGCATACTGTGGAAACTGCAGAAGACATTATATACACAGAGACCATGAAACAATACCTCCTCCCACCCCACTGTCCTGCTGGTAATAGCTTATCTAAAGTGATCATCAAGTTGGGCCACACACACACACAAACTCACTCTCCTGCTGGCAATAGCTCATCCAAACTGACCACTCTCCTTACAATGTGCATGATAATCAAGGTGGGCCATTTCCAGCATAAATCCAATTCTGGGTTCATTATCCCTGATTATGTGACTTTCAGATCCTTCCGTTTTTGTTTTATTTGCATTTGATGTGCCTCCCAGTTTTTTGTTTGTTTTGGTTTTTTGCTTAAAATTAATCAAATGGCTCTATAAAATCATTAATGAAAGAAAAACAGCCACTCACTATTAGTCTCCTTGTTATTGACTGTGATAAATCACTCCTGAGAAATTCTGCTGGAGTTTGGAAATTATAAGAGTGTGGCATATAGATCAGAAACTCCAGAATTCACCATGCTTGCTTCAGCTGATATCACACAAGCGGGGTTTGTTTCTTGTCATGTGTCTAATGCCATCTTTATTAATCAGGAACTGTTCCTGGAACATGTAATAGAAACTAGCAGTGCTTGAGACCACCTGAAAGGCTGCAATGGTTGCCAGGGCTATGGAAGTGGGATTTGCAGTAGGAAATTGCTCAGGATGCTGTGAGGATTTGCAAACGGGGGAAAGAGCCTAGCTGTAAACAACGTGGAGGGGAAGAAGTTTCATTTAATGCTTAGTTAAATAAAGAGCCATTGAACTGAAAACTCGAAGAACCCGGAATTGTACATACAACTGTACCTTTTTTGCTCCCTGTTCCTCTTCAACACCATCTCCTATTACAACATACACGGCTTTCCTTCCAAACCTCTGCATTATCCGTTCAAAACAGCTCTCTTTCCCTGAGCAACAAAAAAGAAAACGTGTTAGTTATCTAAGAGAACTGGGCAGTCGGGCTTTGAGGGCTGGGACAGGGCCTGATTTAATTTGTTTCTTTGTATTTGTAATCTGGTTCTCAAATTAAGATTTAGGCAACATTCTCTGAGTTGCCATTACACAAGTTGCAGCACCTTCTTTACCCACCTAGTGTTGCCAGCTCCCTTGTGTTTACAACAAGTCTTGTGATTTTTGGTGTATTTCTTAAAGCCCCTGCTGCTGGAGACATGCAATTCTCTGAGAATCTCAGGGCTTGTCTATACAGTGAGGTTATGTGCACTACGGGGGGGGTGATTTCTAAAGTGCACTAACATGTTTTGCATTAATTGGTTTGTACAGACCATGCTGGTGTGCACTAAAGGTTCCATAGTGCACATTAATATATCTGTACTATGTTAAAGTGCACTAGGGAATCTTTAGTGCGCACCAGCAGAGTGTACACAAACCAATTAATGCACAACATGTTAGTCCACTTTAGAAATCACACCCCTGCCTCCCTGTAGTGCACATTACCCCACCATGAAGACAAGTCCTCAGCTTTAATTTTAAAAATAAAGTTTCTAGTGCTCATGGTTGCAGAGAAAAGCTTGAAAATCTGAACCAAAAAGGCTCAAACATTAGACTGCAAATAAAAATAACCCAACATTTATCATTTTTAAGTCTCTTGATTTTTAAACCAATTTAGTGTTTTGTGAATACTTGGTGTTGGCAACATGGCAAACATGCTTTAGGGTTTAAGTCCAACAACCTAGGACAACTGTGAGCTATCCAGTAGGGCTGGCCAAAAAATTTCCACCTAAACTTTCTACTACACAGAATTTTTCATGAAAAATATCTGCTTTCTGCAGAAACATTTCAATTTTTGTCAAAAAGTATTCACCCGAAAAACTTTCAGCTTTTGATCATAATTTTTTTTTAAATTAACACTTTTTTGTTTGTTTGGGGTTTTTTATTGTTGTTGACATTTTCTACTTTCAGCCTTCCTTGCAAGCTAGTGCTGTTGGGGTGGGACAGAAATGTCATTTTGAGGGAGTGCAAGAATCTAAGAGGTGCTAGCCACAAGGGTATGTCAGAGTTTCAGGGAGCTTCTGGGTATCTATGCACCACAATATAAAAATAATTAATAATATCACAAAAGGGCAAGAAGAAGGGATGTACAGCCTCTGGAGGAGGTTAGGGATTTTTGGATATTAGGCCTTGTGTAGTTCTTTTTGGCTGGATGGTAGTATGGAGTTGTGAGAAGCTGAAATTCACATTCTTATCCATATTTTTATCCACAAAGGGAAAGCAAATAGGACCATCTGGTCATTCCTGATCTGGCAATATGATATACTAGTGCTGCTTAACATACATTTACAAAACAAATTAGAAACATTAATCTTCACAGCACCATGGGAAGTAGAGAATGATCATCACCTCTTTACATACAGGGAAACAGGGACCCCCAGAGATTAAGGCCAACATTCTCAAACTTTTTAAAAAATTTTAAAAGTTTTAATTTAATTGATCTGGCCACGGTCACACAGTGAGTCACGATGGCAGAGAGAGGATGAGATCTTGGGAGTTCCTGGTTCTTAGTCACATACTCAGAACACTAGACCATCCTGCTTTCTCTATAATCTCTGCATCTTTTTACTGCTGGTCACTGTAAGAATGTCCTCACCAGACTCCTGACCAAAACTTTGGAACAATCAAAGAAGTCTCCCCCCAGAAAATCCATCACAGGTTTTATATTGAGCCTGGTGTATGCAGGGGGAGTTCAGCAGGTATACTAGTGTGGTGCAGATGTGATCCATGAAATTCATAGTTTTGTATCTCAGCACTGAGTCCATATGCTTTGATTTAAAGGAGCTCCCAGTCAGCTATCACACAACATTAAATATTCTATTCTGCACCTTCAGAGCTTCTCTTTATTTTATTTATAGGCATTTCTTTTGGTGCTCACCAAGTGTCTCAGCCTTACAAACAATGAGCTTAAATGTCCAGCACTGCTGTGAGGTAGGTGAGTATTATTAGCCCCAGTTTAGCGATGGGAAGCTGAACCACAGAAAGCCTAAGTGACTTGCCCTGGATCATACAGAAATTCTATGGTAGAGTCAGAAATTGAGCCCAGATCTCCTGTTTCTCAGTCCAACGCCTGAACCAAAAGACCATCATCCTTCCTTCCTTCGGCCCTGTGTACATTCAAAGATTGTAACCAGGTATAGCTGTAAACCTGGTCGTGTTAGCAAACAAGATTGTTAATACCTGTTAGGTTTCAGAGTAACAGCCGTGTTAGTCTGTATTCGCAAAAAGAAAAGGAGTACTTGTGGCACCTTAGAGACTAACCAATTTATTTGAGCATGAGCTTTTGTGAGCTACAGCTCACTTCATCCGTGAGCTGTAGCTCACGAAACCTCATGCTCAAATAAATTGGTTAGTCTCTAAGGTGCCAGAAGTACTCCTTTTCTTTTTGCGAATACCTGTTATCAATCACAGCACATAACCATGGCTTTTCTATCTTGATTCACGGTTGCTTTTCTGTAACTGGTCCAGTTCACTGTCCAGCCCAGCCCCCCAGTGTAAACAGGTCCTTTAGCCATGTTTATGTAACAGGTTCGATTAGCATTCCTTCCTCTCAGATATGTGAGATAGGGTGTTCCAGAACATATGGCCCACAGGTTGCTAATGCTGTTGGGCGTGCATGTCTCCTAGGCACTGTATTGCCTACTGAGGTACTGTGGGAGAGCTACCTTGATTCTTCCTATGCTGCACTGATACAAACATGGGCAGTTAGTATGTTAGATGTGGAGGCACCAACAGGAGGATCATGTGATTCTATTGTGAATAAAGCTGCTGCAGGAACGCAATTCAACCATGCTTACTGTAAGTGGGTCAGATGCGAGGGCCACAACCTGGTCACAAACAGCCAATTGCACTTTAGACGAGGCCTTAGCTGCATTGCTCTTACCTGTCTTTGTTGCACTATAGATGTTTTCAATGGGGAAGACTGTGCCCAGTCCATATAGCAGCACTTTAGCAAGAGCTGGTATGAGCTGAGTTGTGGTGACCAACACGTTTACACAGTTAGACCTAGAAAACAAAGTGGTTAGTTGAAATTGCAGTGAGTGAGGCAATCTGTGTCCTTTTCTCCTGATAGCCTCTGAGCTGGGAGCACAGGGCAGGATACAACCCGAAAAAGCTCCGGAGAAGTTGGTGACTATGTGATGGAAAGTGACTGAGGTTTTTTGTACACTCTCTTTATTAATTTATGAGAAATGAAATAATTAAAAACAAACCAGTGACAAAGGCAGAGACTTTGCATATTGCAACCAACCACTGAGGTGCTTTAAATGGTGGTAAATCTCCAATGTCATTTACACTGTGTCCCTTGGGTGAACTAAGTCAGGGCTAGTAGTGCTTCTATTTCCCCTTACTTGCAAATCTGTTTAGTACCTTCCTGGGAATGCTACAAATGAGATATCCAGCAGCAAGGCAGGAAAACCAGCTGATTTTATTTTGTTTGGTCCTTTGTATCAGATTGAGCTCACCCCTACCCTGGATAATACAAATCTGGAAAACATGTGCAGATGGGCCTCCCACATATTTGGCCAGCAAAATCCTATAAACGTGCCCTGGTTTGTTTGGAGGAAAAGAAGAGAAGCAAAAGAAACTCTTGGATCTCATATGTAGGTGATTCCTTAAGCTGTTCTTACCGGGAATGTATCAAATTCAGAGCCTTGAGAGCATGAGTGAGCCAGAGATCAGTCAGAGCTTCCAGTTCTGCTCTTAACTGAAGCCAGGTTTCTCTCTTAGGAGCTCCTATTAAACCTGCAAGCAGGGAAATTAAGCAACATTATTTGTAGCTGCACGGAAAGGGAATGACTTGCACAGCTTAGTACACAGTACACTAAATGGCCTCCTGCTCTCTCCTGGCCATGTTTGAATCCTATCCTACCTCAGTCGAGCTGCTCCTCTTTCATTCCTGGTGGAGACTTCTTCTAATCCTGCTGCTATAGAGTGTGTCAAGGCTCTGCCCTGAGTCACCTTCCCTTCTCCCTCTGGAACCTGCTGCTAGCATTCTTTTTGGACATCGCTTCAAAGTAGATGATGCCCTGAATGCTCCCAATATTTCTCACTCCTATTCATCCACTTCCCTCATTCCGCCTCCTGTCTTGACCCCAGTCTCTTTTGCAGAAGTCACAGTTGAGGGACTTTAATCTGTCACTGGTCTCTGCTTCAACCCACTGAACCTCTAGATGGCTGCTGTGCAAAGTGTTTCACGACTAAGGCCCTGTTGTATGGAGAAACCTTCTCTGAAATACATTAACTGGTGTAGTAGTTAGCACTGGCATTTTAGCCAGTATTTTGCTCAGCTCCGTCTCTGTAGTTAGCAATTTGCATGGCTCAGTTAGAATACTTTTCTGAAATTTCCCATAGAGTTTATGTACAAACTAAGCAATAATGATTGAGGCGCCGGGCATTTCCTGAGAATTAACGACCAGTGCGGAGGAGATAGAGGTCAGAGCAGAAGCAGATGACTGTTGGGTCCTGCTGGTCATTAATCCCCCTGAAAATCTGTTCACAAGGTCGTTATTCCTAGTATATATGGGAAGTAAAAGGCAAATATTTAAAATACCTTTAGGAATATTATTATTTTTGGTTATATGTTATTCTGGCTCTAGCTCTGGGACACCTGTGCTGACAAAACCCCACCCCAGCCTAAGAGAGAAACTAGCTTAGCTATATTGGATGCTGTGAGATCAAGGAGGCTAGAACATTCCATTGTCTTGTGATATCGTTTTGATGGGATGTGGGATAGGGAACTGTGACTCAGGAATACTCTTTCCTTCCATATACACAAGAGCTCATCTATGCATTCCTCTGTGTCAGACTCGAGATATTGGTTTTAGGTTGTTTGAAGGGTGCGTGTGTGTTTTATTTATTGTATGTTTGGGGAGGTGATGAACGTAATGTTTTCTGCACCAGCTCTGGTGATAATTTATTGGGTCACACAGCTTTCTTTTGGCAAAGATATGTGGTTTTAATTGTATTTGTTAGGGATCCCATGGACTTTGGAGATGGGGTGCCCTTTAACGAGGTGCACAAATATCAGGGTGAATGAAATGTATATTTTAAAAATATTTGGTTTTTTTATTAACCTATTGCCAGGTTCATCGCATGGATAGGGAATTAGTGCCTAGACCATTATTATTTGAGTGCTGAGTGTGCTAGGCTCTGTACAATAGAGAACAGAAATTAGCCACTCCTGAAAGACCTTACAATAATTTCTGAGCCGCATTTAGAGTAGACACAGCACGCTGTGTATAAGGCTCTTGAAGCAGGGCTTGATTTCTCCTCTCGTGTACAGGGGAACAGGCATGGGGAACACAGAACTTTACAGAGCCCTCTTAGGAGCAGTAATATTTCATTTCCTGCTAATTAGAGATAGACCTGAACTACAACCTCTTGTCTGATCAACTCCTGACCTTGAGAAGGGTGTGTAAAATCTAGATCCAGATTTTGTAGCTTGGTCCACTATCTCTAATGCCTTTCCCGGGACCTCAGAGCACTTGGCAAAAGCTAACCAAGCCTCACAACACACCCATGTGAGCTAGGTATTAGCCCCAGTCTGCACATGGGAAAACTCTGGTGTAGACAGGCTGCAACTTACCCATCCTGTTACAATGTGTCAGAGATGGGAATAGGGTACAGGAGCAGTCTTGATTCCCTTGCTCTAACAATTAGACTGCATTTCTCCCTATAACAAATGAGTTTGCGCCTTGTTTTTGGAGTGCCTAGGCTATTCTGTCATGACCATTGTTATTTAAGGATAACACTGCTTAATTCTGCTGAAACACTTGCCTAGCAGTTCAGTTCTCCAAAGATCAAGGTACACTGCTCGCTATAGTACCTAAGTACGCTGCTTGCTATACACCTACCTTGTAGTGTTTATCCTGCTGAACAGAGAGAGTTTTTATGAAAGATGAAAGGGGCCATTCCCTTGCTGGAGACACTCACCTCCTACATTGTTTTTGTAGGTATTGTACATCTCTTTCACCCGCCGGTAGCGGAATGCTAATTTCCTCATCCAGTCAACTCCCCCGTGAACTCCAGAGCCCAGACACAGATTTGCACCGGCAGTTGAACTGTGAAAGCCATCTGCTGAGAAGTTATATGTGCTGGTGGGGGGGAAGCAGGGGAAAGAGGAGGAGGAAGAAACAGGAAAGAGTGTTAGTGCAATTATATAATACAAGGTTACTTCCAACAGGGTGTGGAAACAAGTGAAGGGGGCAGAGGAAGAGGGACACCAGATGTTGCTGGAGAGTAATGGAGGCAGCTGGTAAAGCACAGGGGGAGGAGGAATAAATATCTTCTTGCCCCTACCAGTGTTTCTGCTAATACCTATCAATTTGTGGTGTGCTAATTTATTTGTTGGGCTAAATCTTCAGTCAATTTTCATTACCACTCCTGCTGAATTTGTGGGTACACCTATTTGCATGCACAACTCTTCCCCCAGCCCTCCAACACATACTTATAAAGGCAAATTAGGCAGACTGACAATTTTTTATACAAATGCAGGTATGTAATTGCATGTGCATTTTACACACAATTGTGCATCTGACGGTGTTAAACATCTGGCGCGATAATGACAGATATGTACAATAAAAGATATGGTTTTCCATGTGCAACTGGATACAACTACTGATCCTATAGGGGGATTAATGGGGTAAACATTTTGGCCCATTAATTTTGACAAGAAAAACCTATTTTCAGGCATGAGGAACCAACAAGATTGCCAGAGGTGTGGAGCCCAGCGCTGCTCCCCTATCTTCACGTGTCTAGTTTCTACACATCTCTGAAAACAATGAGGAATTTATGGGGCACAAATGGTGAAATGCCTTCTCATGAAGACATCGTACATGTTGGTTACTACCACGCATTCATTGTGAGAGTCTTAGAACTACCTTAAACACAGAGAAAAACAGGACTGTCCTCTACATGAAAATCACAACTGGGCACCGAATCACTACGCATGCCTGGCTTACTGAAACACAGCTGCTAATGCAACTATCTGTCTGCATAAATACTCAAATCCTAAAGAAGGTAATTCTGATGTAGACCTTTCCGATTGTTTGGCATTGTATGTTAATACCGGGCTTTGAGCCTGTTTTAGAACAAGAAAAGAATTAACAGTGGAAGGAAAGGGCAGTGACTGCTTACAACATGGTCATAAACATTCTCCACCAAAATCCCTTTTATGCTGCCCAAGCAGAGCCCAGAAGAAGAGAATAAAATGGATATGGCATATAGGAAAGATGACAAAGGCCTTGTCTATGAAGGAAGTTAAGTCAAATCAACTAAAGGTGAGAATTTAAAGCAGGTTAAACTCCTGTGTGGATGCTCTCATTCAGAAATAAAGTGACATTTTATTTCAATTTAGCTTAATTCACTTCCCAAAATTATTTTGGCTTAATTTCCCTAAGCATATGAGAAGTTTTTGAAAAGCAACAGAGATCTTTTGGGCTGGGGCTTGTTGCAGGATGAAAAGAGATGCTGTTAGCAGATTGCTTTCCCACATACTCTCAGAACAGGATTATTTGCACTAATTTACTTAAGGTAAAATCCAGTTTATCATTTGTATGTGTCTGCACTCACACCTGGATTTGCTGTGTAGTAGAGCCTGCTTACAGACTAATAAAACAGCCTGAAAGTCTCCCATTCTTTCAGTGCTTTGCAAAGCACAAACTACAATCCTAAATGACATGAGACCTCCTCGCCAGGGCCGGATTAATTTAGGAGCTTTAGGGGCTGCAGCCCAGGGCCTCGGGCTAAGGGGGGCCCTGCAGGCCCACGGGTCAGATGCAGCCCGCTGCTTCTTTTCATCCAGCCTGCGGCAAGTCTCACCAGACATCAGTCCCTGAGCCTCAACGCCTCCCCTGGGGCTAGCGCCACAAGCGCCAGCTCGCTGATGTGCCCCTGTGGCCCCTAGGCGAGGGCATTCAGGGAATCTCTGCGCACTGCCCCCACTCCCAGCGCCGGCTCCACAGCTCCCATTGGCCAGGGACCGTGGCCAATGGGAGCTGTGGGGCAGCGCTTGCAGGCATGGGCAGCATGCACCGTGCAGAGCGGCCTGGTCCCTCTGCCTAGGGGCTGGACGTGTCGGCCACCTTGGGGAGAAGAGCAGCGCAGAGCCAGGGCAGGCAAGAATCCTGCCTTAGCCTTGCTGCGCCGTCAACCAGGAGCTGCCTGAGGTAAGCGCCTCCCAGCCAGAGCCTGCACCCCATCCCCCCCCTCCTGTACCCCAAGCTCCTACCCCAGCCCAAAGCCCCTCCTGCACCCAAATTCACTCCCAGACCCCGCACCCCCTCCTGTGCCCAAACTCCCACCCAGAGCGCACACCCTGAACCTCCTGCTGCATCCCAATCTCCCTTGTCACAGCCCTGGCCCCACCCCAGAGCCCACCCCCACATCTGGAGCTGCACCCCCTCCCACATCCCAATCCCCTTCCCCAGCCCTGAGCCCACTCCTGCACTCCAAACGCCCAGGGACCCCAGAAAATCTAATAGCACCTGGCCCACAGGAGAGTTAATCTGGCCCTGCTCCTCTGAGTGAAGCTTTTCTGTGTGGGGAAAACTGCCTTCCCTATGAGGCTTCCACAGTACTCTGTACTGAGTAGCTACATCCATTTATCATATAAACAATCCATTGGAAAACAACTGCGTGTGAGCACAGGTCCCGGTTACCACACAATTACTGTGAATGTACATGCACACTTGGCAAATGCACATGCAAATTTATTGTGTGCATGATTACCTGATTTACACAGTATTGGTGTATGCAAATCTGGAGTAATATTTCCATGACAAAGCCAATTTTTATTGGTCTACCTGCCATTCACAATGTAAGATTGCTGGACACTAACAATCACTCCTTTAAATCAAAGAAGACATTTTATTGTGACACTGAGTTCTGGCTTGACAGATAAGCCTAAATTGCAGGGTTGTTTCCCTGAGGAATATGTCTAACACCATCATGAGTTTCTGGTAGCATTGATCAAAGGTACCACTTTTTTGGGAATACTATTCAGTGCAGCATGAGTCTAAAACGCAGGACTAAATTTTCAAAGTACTGCACAGTTCTTAGCCATGAAGTTCATGTCGGGCGTAATCAATGCTGTGACCATGGAGTTGTCAACATATCCCACATAAAGAAATGTCACGTGGAAAATAAGTAGCTGGGATGCATAGCTGTTACAATCAGAGGACAATGCATTGAGGCAATTAATTCTCAAATTATATAGCAAGTAGAATAGGGTGATGTGTTAATAGTACAGTTGCCACAGTAACCTTGAGATCTTACAATAAATAACAATACTCTAACCAGGAGTCAATTCCAGTGGAAAATATGATAATTATATTGTAACCCATAACCATACAATTTCCTTTTAATACCACAGAATATGGGGATACATATAGGACCGTCAGCTGCAAAAGTGGGAACTCTCCCATTAGTTTTGGCAAAGCTCCTGGGAATTCTGGGCCTGAGTTTCATACAGTCCAGACACAACACTGCACAAGTCTAAGGCTCAAGAATGGTTTTGAAATGGTTTGGTCCAATCTACGTTGGCTGGCCAAACCATATTTGAAACTGGTGTAGCTGAGCTGAGTTCAACCCATTTTCAAACTTGTTTTCCAGTATGGTTTAAAGCTTAATATGGACAGGGCGTGAGAGTAAGGCCTGGGCATATTAGTGTGAGAAAGAGGAGTTTTGTGCTCCCATGCGTTGATGAATGCAAGGAGTATGGAAGGGGAAAACAGCAAGATCAAGAATGTTATTTATATTATACCATTGCTTATCCTCAAGCCATTTCCAAGGAATTGTGGAATGTTTGAGCTGGAGATTCCAGTCCAGAGATTACCTACCTTAGATCTTGTCCATTGTCATCTGATGATACGTCATCTATGTGTATTTGGTCACAATCCTGCAAAGCATAAACAAACAAAAACAAAAAAACCCAAATGAGTCAGAAAATGACATTGCCTTGGAATAACAAATTTGAAGGAAGAATTTTATCATTGAATAATCATAGAATCATAGGACTGGAAGGGACCTCAAGAGGTCATCTAGTCCAGTCCCTGCACTCATGGAAGGACTAAGTATCATGAAGTGAAAAACACATTAAGGGCAGATATTAAGGTAAAATCAGGTCCCCATGTATTGCTAATACTTTCAACAAATTCCAGTCAATTAATTAGATTATAAGCCAATTTCAGATGCTGCTTGGCCACAACATGAATAGAATTACTGTGCATAAGCAAGAACTGTCTGAGATCACAATAGTTCTTGAATTGCACATTAAGGTGCTTCCTGGTCATACAGAAATGCGTAAAGCTCATGCAAAGGAACTTGTTTGTCTCTTGACCAGTAAAACAGAGAAACATTAGTAGTTTACATGCATTGTGTGGTATCAGAATCAGCAGCCTTCCCCCATCAAAGAGCATTACCAGTAAGAGGAGTACCAGTAAGAAAAGGAGTACTTGTGGCACCTTAGAGACTAACAAATTTATTTGAGCATAAGCTTTCGTGAGCTACAGATCACTTCATCGGGGGGGGGGGAGGAAGAGAGGGGAGGGGAAGGTGAGGGGGAAACCTTTTGTAGTGATAATCAAAGTGGGCCATTTCCAGCAGTTGACAAGAACATCTGAGGAGCAGTGGGGGGCGGGGGGGGGGAAATAGTTTTACTTTGTGTAATTACCCATCCACTCCCAGTCTTGTCTACAGCCAAGCTCTACGATACAATCGCATTTGCTCCAACCCCTCACACAGAGACAAACACCTACAAGATCTGTATCAAGCATTCTTACAACTACAATACCCACCTGCTGAAGTGAAGAAACATATTGACAGAGCCAGAAGAGTAGCCAGAAGTTACCTACTACAGGACAGGCCCAACAAAGAAAATAACAGAACGCCACTAGCCATCACCTTCAGCCCCCAACTAAAACCTCTCCAACGCATCATCAAGGATCTACAATCTATCCTGAAGGACGACCCATCATTCTCACAGATCTTGGAAGACAGGCCAGTCCTTGCTTACAGACAGCCCCCCAGCCTGAAGCAAAAACTCACCAGCAACCACACACCACACAACAGAACCACTAACCCAGGAACCTATCCTTGCAACAAAGCCCATTGCCAACTGTGTCCACATATCTATTCAGGGGACATCATCATAGGGCCTAATCACATCAGCCACACTATCAGAGGCTCATTCACCTGCACATCTACCAACATGATATATGCCATCATGTGCCAGCAATGCCCCTCTGCCATGTACATTGGCCAAACTGGACAGTCTCTATGTAAAAGAATAAATGGACACAAATCAGACATCAAGAATTATAACATTCAAAAACCAGTCGGAGAACACTTCAATCTCTTTGGTCACTCGATTACAGACCTAAAAGTGGCAATTCTTCAACAAAAAAACTTCAAAAACAGACTCCAACGAGAGACTGCTGAATTGGAATTCATTTGCAAACTGGATACAATTAACTTAGGCTTGAATAAAGACTGGGAGTGGATGTGTCATTACACAAAGTGAAACTATTTCCCCCTGTTTATTCCCCTCCCCCGCCTCTGCTGTTCCTTAGACATTCTTGTCAACTGCTGGAAATGGCCCACCTTGATTATCACTACAAAAGGTTACCCCCCCGTCCCCCCCCACTCTCCTGCTGGTAATAGCTCACCTTACCCGATCACTCTCATTACAGTGTGTATGGTAACACCCATTGTTTCATGTTCTCTGTGTATATAAATCTTCCCACTGTATTTTCCACTGAATGCATCTGATGAAGTGAGCTGCAGCTCACGAAAGCTTATGCTCAAATATATTTGTTAGTCTCTAAGGTGCCACAAGTCCTCCTTTTCTTTTTGCGGATACAGACTAACATGGCTGCTACTCTGAAACCTGTACCAATAAGAATATTCAGGCTTAATTTAAGGAAAAGAAGAAAACCCCTTTTTCTAGGTCTTTCCACAGAAATTTCTTGTCTGAGACATGTCTTGCTCCTATAGTGTTTCCCTAGTGCTTGCTGGGGCTTTACCCTGTCCTGCCCATGCACCAAGAGGAGAAGGGACCCTTTCATATCCCCATTCCACAGACAGAGTTAAGAAATAATGCACATAAGTAATAAGGAAATCAATACACAGGAAATTTAAACTGAATAGATTATGCACTTGGAGCATGAAATATGCACTCTAGATCATACCATCTAAATTCTTCATTGTTCGAGTGGTGACGGCTTTACCTCAAAATCTCAATAAATGTTATTTCTATGGTTTCTTTCTCTGACTTGACACTGTGATTAAAAAGGGGATGGGAAGAAAGTCAGGAAGACCTTTTCTCTCTCTTCTTTGACTCTAGCAGGGAAGGGACAATGTATCTTGCAAAGGCCCTTGGAAGTCAGCAGATATTGTTCTGTTTTTTTGGCTGATCTAGTCACTCTTTGTTATCTACCCTATGAAGCTTGTAGTAATCTCTCTACACAGCCAAAGATGTTCTATGAGCGAATTAAATCCACCCCTTCTGCCCACACACACAAAATCTTGTGGCTAGATTTCCAAAGGGTGGACATCACAGACGTGCCTTCAGAAATGCATGTGAGACAGTTCTGTTCACAAATCCTACATTTCTGCAGATTGGGTAAAAATTTCAAAATCACTTAAGTGACTGAGGCCATTTTGAAAGTATAACTTAGGCTCCTAAGTCCCATTTTCAAAAGTGATTAAATCACTCCTGTGCTTTTGAAAATTTTACCCACCTTCCCTATCAGGAGGACAGAGTTTCCTGAGCGGCAAATGCACTTGAGGGTTGTAATGCGATAGAAGTACATATAATTTTGTGCACACACTTTCCTTTGAAAATGTAGCCCTAAAATTTCAAGAACCATCATGTCAGAGATGTATTAATCCTGCTTCCCTTATGGTATAATGCTGGATCCCTTATGATACAATTCCTGACTTTTGCTGAGTAGGGGTTTCTAAAGTATCTAATCCAATCCACTTCCTATCTCCTCTGTTTCTTGCTTTATAATTGACGCCAGTATTTTCAAGTGAGCGCCGACTCTACAAATGAGAGCTGAGAAAATAAATTAATAACAGATCTCTGCTGGCACACACCCCCATTCTAAAATTAAAAAAACATTCCCAACAGTGGTTGTGAGCTGTGAAAGCATGCTGGAATAATATTGTCATAGCCCACTCAGCTACAGTTGCATTGTGCTGTGCATTATGTAAGGGGAAAGGTATTTGTGGGGGATCTGCTTTTCTCATTTACGAATGAATTGTTCTGTACACTGAAGTGTGACAACAGTAGCTATCACATTTCTGACTTAATAAAATACCATGACACTTGGTGAGACGCTACCTCATAGTCCACCAGCCGACCTATCATGTTACTGGGTAAAACACAGAGAAGCTGAACAAGGCAAGAATGTAGACTGTGCTTTACTACTTGGTTACCAGACTAATTTTTCATTCTCACTGAATTTACTTGAGATCTTAGTGAGAGAGGAAGGAGGACAGGAATATCTGGGCAGCTGAACAGAAGATCCAGATTGTTTGAATGAAAGTCAGCAATGAGGACATTTCCGAACCCTAGTTTTCACATCTGTTGGCTTTTTTTAAATGATTCTCTGGGATCTCATAGAGCTACATGATTAGTGTGGTGCATACAGGCTATACCTGATTCAGGAAATATAAGGCCCCAACCGCCTCTGAGAACCAAACCTTTTCTGAAGTTCTGAAATGTTTGGACCATTCTTTTATTTACTTCTGCATACAGGTGGGACTTGATGCAGACAAGTTAAAGTAACAGGAAATAGTTTGTGTTCATGGTATGTCCACATTTTACAAAAGGCTCAAGAGGTGATATTTAGGATATCCTTGGTTACACAAACAGCTATCCCTCACTGTGGCAACAGGGCCACTGAACAACACTCGGAATGCTTAGCCCCCAGGGATGGCTTCAAAAGGTAGGTTTATAAACACTGTACTAATCTCTCTGACACCTGTTTTTCTGTTTAGCATTTTCTAGACTGCCCACCAAACAAATGTGGAAGAGAGGGATGCATATCTTTCTAGATAGAGATGCACAGGGAGCCAGCAGGGTCTAGTGAAATAAGCATGGAACTTGAAGCCCAAGACACCCAAGTTCTAATTCTGCTCCTACCTCATTATATTGCTTTGAACAAGTCACTTATCCTCTCTACTCTTCCATCTAATAAAATGGAGAATGGATAATACTTGCCTCTCAATGGGGGTGTGAGAATTAGTTCATGTGTGTGCAGTGTTTTGAAGAGGTAAAATGCTATATGAGGCCTATATATACACAATATACTGTGTCGCCTCCATTTTTAGACTGCAGGCATATAAACACGGGCACCCAATTTGTGTGCATCACAGTAACTGTGTGTGCGGATGATTAGTTACACATCTAACCGGAGAGACAAGGTGGGTGAGGTAATATATTTTATTGAAGCAACTTCTGTTGGGGAAAGAGACAAGCTTTCGAGCTACAGGTCTGAAGACATGAAAAAGAGCTCAGTGTATCCTGAAAGCTTGACTCTTTCACCAACAGAAGTTGGTCCAATAAGAGCCCACCACCCCAGCTGGAGCTGCATCCCCTTCTGCACCCCAATCTCCTGCCCCAGCCCTGAGCCCAACTCCAAACACCCCGGGGCCCCACAAAATCTAATAGCCTTGGGCCCACAGGAGAATTAATCCGGCCCTGCTCCTGGGAAACCACTAGTAAACTAGTAAAAAGACCTTGTATAGATGAATCAAAAAACCTCCTGAAGTCCAGGGGGGTAACTCCCAACTTCCTAATGACAAACTGGCCTCCACCCATTGGGCAGAGGCCTGGTTTGCTGCTGCTTCCTATCCCCTGGTCAGCTGCACATGGTAGAAGCTTCAGAACTTGGAGCACTCTAGCCTCCATGCCTGACTGTGTGAGAATAGACTCAGCTGCTATAGCAGCATATAATGCGTGCAATTGTTTGGAAGGTGAGCACAGCAGCAGCATTTGGAGGCTCAGCACTCATCCTGAACTGCTAGTTCAATATAAAGCTAGGCAGGAAGGTTGTAGATGGAGGAGACCTTTGTGCAAGGGGAAAATGGGAGACAAGGAAAGTACCCAGCATCAAAAAACCCCGGAGGGGCTATTACAGATACATTCATCAACAGCTGGGAACCACTGTTCTAATGAACTCACCTTGCCAGGAAAGAGGATGGGGTGAGTGTATACAGCACACTAGTCTGAATTCTCTCTCTGTGATCTGATAATATCTGTGGTTCCAGTACAACATCCATATGCAAGTCCTGCAGCTGACTGCAGGGAAAATAGGGCAATCAGAAGCTTTGCTGTGCCATTGCCTTCCTGGAAATAAATAGATGCTCTTTGTGGACATTGTACTACCACTAATAAGCTCCCTCAATTTCTTCATTTGCCTTAGGGCTGGCTCAAACAAATGGTTAGTTTCTGTTCCTCTGGCCTTTTTCAGCTGTGCAGAAATGAAGGCACCTGTGCTTAAAATGGCTGGCCTGAACACAAGTTCTCTTGCTCTGGGGCTTAACAGTATCAGATGTCACATTCACCTGTTCCCTGCAGTTTTCTTGTTCCTTAATACAAGCTCTCACTTTGCCTTTCTTCTGTACATGCCTGAATGCAGGGCAGCTCCACGGGCAGTTTCAGCATTGTAGCATGGTGTGGATTGAGTTTACTGAGCCCTGGTCAAGTCATCATTACGCCACTTGGTGGGGCTGCTGTATACTGTAATCTCAGCAGATCTAAACCTGAGTCAGTCTCTCTGGGCTTGTTTTTCTGTCTCTCTCTCTTTTTTTTTTTTTTTTTTTTTTTACAGACTATTGTTCATTGTATCTCCTTCAAGCCCAACAGTTGGTGCCCATACAATCCTCACCTATCACTCTGCGAATCCTCTGGCCTGAAAGTCATTACTTTATCAGGAGCGGCATGGCTAGTGAATAAAGACACTAAAGTTCAATAAAGTTCAATAAAGTTGAAATTTTTGTGTTGCTTTTTGAGGCGTGGGAGGAGTACGGCAAGGCAAACATTTTTGTCAAAAGTTTTCATTTCTTCTGAAAATTTCAGTTTTTCGATGAACAGTCTAATGCTCCCTCTTCCCCCCCCAAAAACGGAGGTTGTTTTCATTTTAGAAAACTGGGGAAATTCTGCAAAAAAGTTATGGGAAGAAAATAAAATTTCATGGAAAACACCTACTGCTTTCCAACCGGCTGTAGGACTGATATTTGTTGACAATAATCTTCAAAGTTGTCTGATAAGCCTGTCTCTCACCTCAAATCCTCTTTGGGTAGTTAAGGTTAGCTAGGGAGTAACTGTTCTCAGAACTGGGTTCTGAACAATTCATGTCCTGCAGTCAGACCTTCGATGCTGAAGGCTCTTGTACTGCTATTCACTCCCACTGACAGATACATCGAAGCCATGATGCAGTTTTTTATTTTGTTGTTCTTATGTGTTACACTTCTGAAATAACACAGTCAGACTGCCAAGTGCTATAGAAATCAGTAAAAGCATTTATTTTCACCAGCACACCTGGATCCCATACTCACACAACTTTGCTATGGATGCGCCAAACTGGCTCAGATAAAATAAAGTTACTCCACAAGCCCAAGAATCAAGCTGAAAGTTTTTAACAGCACAGGTCTGCTGCTCCAGTGGGCTTGGACTGTTTGGAGAGGGAAGTAGCTGGAGTCTTTGTGCATTTCTTCATACCAAATCGGACCTTTTTGAGGTTTATGCATCAACATGGAAAGTGACAAAAAAAACAACAGAATACTTCACTCTTTGTGACTTTAACCTGGAGCCAACAGCTTGTGACTAATGTGGACAAACTTAACAGTGACAGAACAGTACTCAGGGGAATGGTTTTAATTAGGCCTGGTCTACACTGAAAAGTTATATTGACATAACTACATCAGTCAGTGGCGTGAAAAAACACACACCCCTGACTGGTTTCAGAGGAACAGCCGTGTTAGTCTGTATTCGCAAAAAGAAAAGGAGGACTTGTGGCACCTTAGAGACTAACCAATTTATTTGAGCATGAGCTTTCGTGAGCTACAGCTCACTGCATCGGATGCGTACCGTGGAAACTGCAGCAGACTTTATATACACACAGAGAATATGAAACAATACCTCCTCCCACCCCACTGTCCTGCTGGTAATAGCTTATCTAATAATAATAATAGCTTACCAGCAGGACAGTGGGGTGGGAGGAGGTATTGTTTCATATTCTCTGTGTGTATATAAAGTCTGCTGCAGTTTCCACGGTATGCATCCGATGAAGTGAGCTGTAGCTCACGAAAGCTCATGCTCAAATAAATTGGTTAGTCTCTAAGGTGCCACAAGTACTCCTTTTCTTTTTACACCCCTGACTGAGGTAGCTATGCTAACATAACCCCTGTGTAGACACAGCTATGTTGATGGGAGTGGCGTTCCAGCAACACAGTTAACTTCTTTTGGGGAAGTGGTGTTCCTACACCCTTCTGTTGGTGTAGGCTGCGTCTATGCTACGGCGCTATGCCAGCGTAGCTACGGTGGTATCGTCTCCATAGTGCAGATGTAATCTTAGCACTTACGTAGTCCTCTCCACCTTCACAGGGATTATGGAGATATTAATTAATTACTCACAGTGCCTGTCTGAGGTAGAAGGGTGCCATCATCATCATGATCTCCATTTACAGATGGGAAAACTGAGGCAGAGAGGGGCAGAGACTTACCCACTAGGTCACACAGTGCATCAGGTCTTGCAAGGGCTACAGACCAATTCTAGAAGTTTTATAGCCCTTCATTAAGGCACCAGAAGCTAAGACTGGAAATCTCAAATGCTGGGTCACTTTAAATAAAATATTTACCTTTTTCCAGTAGTTATAGGTGAATTTAAGAATTTTTCACCTGCCAAGACCTGACCTAAGGATTCTGTTCTGCTTGCAGCAGCTGAAATCCTCAGGGACATTTGTAACTGTAGTGGCAGTGACATTCCTCACCTTGCTCTGAGGTGCTTGGCAAACCATCAACTGAATTCAGGTCTTGAAAGATAAGTAAAACAAGGGGGGAAATGTTTTCAAATGTAATGATGTGCAAGTTTTAATCTTTCACAGCTGTGGTACAGGTCTAGTGGAATGAGCATGGTACTGCTGCAGTGCGAGCTTGGACAAATCGCTTCCTCCGGCCTCAGTTTCCACACATGTGAAATGGAGTTAACACCATCTACCCACCTCAGATGAAGAGTGTTGGGTATGTGCTAAATATTATCACTTTTTACTTAGTGCCTTAAATAGTTTCTTCCTCTTTTTCTCTATGAAAGATTTTCACTTCACACTTTATGTATCCCCATCACTAAACACTTCTTTGGAAAGCTGGGAGAGGAAGGAAATGTCAGTTCAGGTGCTACAGACCATTTGTCTTTCAAGGGAAATGAAAATTCTTAGCAAGTGAAGTCCCAAATTCTATAGAGAGCCGTACAAGGAAAGTTTTTAACTCCTTGTAACCCACATAGCAATTCAATATAGCTGAGAAGTGAAGGACAAAGGAATTAGAAGCCCTCATGGGGCCCATTTCACGCAAGCTCTGGAACAGTTAAATTCTTACTTTTCCAAATGAATAAACAGACTGAGGAGGGATCTCTGCCTATGGGATGCAGGCACAGAACTGATGTTTTTTCCCCTAGACCATTCCAAGCAATTTCCTGAGTGTATTGTGCCCAAAGCACCTGAAGAGAATTCTAACTCATTCCTTTCAAGGAAATGTCGTCCGGCCTTAGAAAACCCTGAACAAAATTATGTAACTCATTTAGGCCCATTCCTTATGATGGGCTGGTTACAAGCTCAAAAAGCTTTTCATCGACACTGCATAGCTAGTTGCTCAGCTGTATATACGCTATCTTTTCTTGAGCTTCAGCACCTGTTCTAAATGACCTTTGGTGTGTTTTACATCAGTGATGGTATATTTTTACCGGATGCTTCATCATCAGAACTGGCATTCCCTCAGTTAGGGAAGACTTTCTGGCGTTAGTGCAAAGATGCACACATGCTCTCATTCGTGCCATGAGTTTGACAGTCAGGAGCTCTTCACTTTACCTTTTGTGTGTGCAGAATAGAGCTTGTTGAGGAACAGAGACCCTTTCAACCGCTTCTGTATTGGCTCAGAACTAACTGTAAACCTGCCCCCATAAGATCTGTGCTAATTTAGTTTAATGAAATTATTAAATAGCAAATTTCAGAAGGACAAAGCAACATTGTCCTCATTATTACATTTAGTAAAACTACCAATAGACATCACTGTTACTCTGTTGTTGTTTTTTTTTAAAGCTTTAGCAAAGCAAAGATGTCAGAGAGATGTGGCAAGGTATGCTTCCAATAAGCCATCTTAGGCCCACTTCTTTGGGTCAGTAATGAAAGTTTCAGGACCAGAAAACCAAGGGTTTCTAAATCAGATGCAGATGATTAAATAGGAAGATGTTAAATAAAATATGCGGTTACATACCTCCAGGTCATTAAAGAACAGATGTGTATCTGCAAGGTTGAAAATCATTTCTTCCATCATAAGACCTATCCGCACAGACGTGGTGGTGTCCTGTTCGACAGAAAAAATGTGTGCAGTCTTTAGTGATTTTAATCATCCTCTTTCCCTGATTTCTGGTTATTGGGAGTGAATTTGGGACCTGTCCTACTCATGCAGCCACTGATGTAATTTACTTCTCAAATATATTTATCATAGGTTTCTACTCTCGAATTTTACTCTGATATACGGTTGAACTCTGTCCTCTGGTGATGCATGCAGCTCCCTTTGAACATTAACACCCTGTACTTAGCACATTTCAGATGAGGACAACAGGAAGCTTTAAAAACTTTAAGCTTCCAGGCTCACAAGGGAGGTCAGTATTGTTCCTCATTTTACTTGTAAATGTGACTTATCTAAGGTCAAATAACAAGTCAGTGAACAGAACCCAGGAGTTCTGACTTCCAGCCCCCCTGCTCTAACCATAAAGTCAGACTCCTTTCTCTACAGGGCATAGTCACATCATTCAATCAACAAAATGTCTTCACTGCACAGTTAACCTGGGTGATAGGCACCTGAGTTAGGCTAGCCTGGATATGAGCATCCCCACAGCAAAGCCAGACCTGCATCACTATGTCCTCACTGTTTCTATATTTACCCATGTGTGTCTGAGGGCATATCCCATGGTTCTTTGCTGAGGTACTCTAAAATTCTCTCCCAGTCAATTGTGTAGGAGAACTTGTTTGTCGTTTGGAGGAATTGTGGGAAGGGCACTGGAGGACTTTCTGCACTTGAGTGATTTAACCTGCATTCTCACTACAAAGTGGGTGGGTTCTAGCCTGAGTTAAAGGGTAGCCTGGGTTTTAATTCACACCTCCAGCCAGGTCAAGGCACCTCCAAATCTGAGTAAACGGTTTGTGCGCGTGGATGGGGAGAAAGAAGGGAAAGGGGGGCTAAAACATGGTAAAAGACAAGGTTAACTCTGAAGTGAAGATATACCCTTAGTTCTATTCTTGAAATTCCCACCAACTGCAATGGGGATCTGGTGGTCAGACTAAGTGTTTCTTTTAGGCCTCATCTACACACAACAGTTGAACTACTTTAACTATCCAAGTACAGTTAAACCCCCTAGTGCAGAGAGAGTTATATCAGTGTAAGTGTGCTTCTGGGTAGAGTTATTCCCATACAGCAGTGGTTCCCAAACTAGGGGAGCCGCTTGTTCAGGGAAAGCCCCCGGCAGGCCGGGCCAGTTTGTTTACCTGCCGCATCTGCAGGTTTGGCCGATCGCGGTTCCCACTGGCTGCGGTTCGCCACTCCAGGCCAATGGGGGCTGCGGGAAGGGCAGCCAGCATGTCCCTCGGCCTGTGTCGCTTCCCACAGCCCCCATTGGCCGAGAACAACAAACCGCAGCCACCGGGAGCCGTGATCGGCCGAAACAAACTAGCCCAGCCCGCCAGAGGCTTTCCCTGAACAAGCAGTGCCCCTAGTTTGGGAACCACTGCCATACAGAAAGCATCTTTCTACTGCTATATCTGCATCCACACTACAGTCTGTACTGGCCTAACTATAAAAACACATGTGTAAACCAGACTGGTTATGCTGTGTGTTAGAAATAGCAATATGCCTCGGACACTGCATACTCAAGTTTGACCAACCCTAAGATGTTTTTTTTTCCTGATAACTTCAAATATCAGTAGTACCACGAACAGTAATGCTTAGCTCTTGTACAGCACTTTCACCTACAGATCTCAAAGTGCTTTACAGAGGAGAGGCTCAAGTTCCCTAGCCACAGGTCACGATGCCTCCAGCTTTTAAAAACAAATTTATATCAGTGAAAATTACACACAGAGAGTTATCAAGAAGTCCACATAAACATACATACCCCAGGCCCTGATCCTGCCACCAATGAAACCAGTGGTAAAACCTCCACTGAGTTCAACTACAGCAGAACTGTGCCTCCTCTGGCACTATTATAACCTTCATCCTCCCAGTTCCCCAACTTTGTTTGTTGCTTTCGTTCATTGCATCACATCAACCCTTAGATCGTGAACTCCTAGGGGCAGGGATCGTGTCTATTTTCTTCCTGTGCAGTGCGTTGTACAATCAGAGCACTCTATACATCAGAGAAAAATTCCTCCTGGTCACACCATTCTACCACTTGGAAAACAGTAAATGTTACCAAAACAAAATTAAATTAAATAAGATAATCACTGATTTTTTGTATAATTAATTTTAAACCAGCCTTGGAAGGAAGCTCCTCTCATCAGGTAAGCAGTCCCACAGTATGGGACCTGCTGTCCATTTGTTGGGAATGTATAACTCCTGATAACCACTTAGTTTATTAGTTCAAAACTGACAAACAAGCACCTGACACAGCCTCTTCTGTGATTTGTTGCTCCACATGGCTCCTTAGGAATCTGCTGTGACCTATACCTCAACCTAGCTCTCCACAATATTAAATACAATTCTGTCATTTTCCATGTCACACCTTCCCACACACAGAGCTTCAGCCCCAAATAATTAACTTGCTGCTCCAAGCCCAGTGTGAAATAATAGGAACACACATGATGTAGCAGAGTCTTAAGTGCTATTCAGGTGAAAATTATTTTCTTAATCACTAAATAAATATTTCTACAACACAAACAAAAATACTGTTGTTAATTTGGTAAACACCCTCCTAGCTCAAATGGATTTTGCCTGATCAAGTTAAACAGAAACAGAAAGCTTGAAAAAGGAGAGCTTCCACAACAGGCTTTCATTTGTAATTCATCTTTATTAGGTCAGGGATCTCTCATCTTTGTGTGCCTTGAGTGTACGTGTGTGGTTTTCTCCCACTGAAGTTACAAGTCCTGCTATGACAGTACAGATTTATATGTGGACTTTGCCCTAATTTTCTGCAGATTTCTGTGGAGTCATGTTATTGCATGGTGAGGTCAGTAATGAATTAGTTTGGGAGGTCTACCAGAGAACACAATGTTTGGAGGCTGACTATGTTTCAATCAACCTTTGTGGCAGATGCTGTTGACACGGATGGTGTATCACACAGTAACCTAATTATTATGTATTCTTGGTGTAGCTCTTTAATTAGAGGACAATGGTTGTGGTTTCAGCTTTATGGATGACTCATAGGGACTGCACTAAACTAGAGAAAAGCTCTGTCACTCATGCTTGAACATGCTTACCACTGCCCTAGAGAGAACGGCACTTTCTCCTATTGGGTGGAAAGTAAAAAATCAAAAGCTTCTCCTTAAACACTCCTGATCCAAAATGTTGTCATCAGAAGTCTAAGTCACTCACCTGCAACATCTTACTTTTTTAAGTATTTGTTTATTTCATGTCAGTACAACAATTTCTCTCTGAGAATATTTATGTATGGGGATCAAGGATCAGAGTAAGAGCCAGGTCTATGCTGGTGATTTCAGCTATTGGAGTAGCTGCCAGCAGGTGAAATCCTAACAGAGACTAGAAAACCTGCTGTTAGTGACCAGGATATAGGTGGTCTGACCTAGTGGTCAGAGCAGGAGTCAGGTCTCATGCGTGCGGGAGGCATCCAGGGAACAGAGTTGAGGATTAACACCAGAACCAACTGCTGATTGCCAAAGTCAGAACCAGGAATCAAAGCTGAGGGTCAGAACTGGGATTAGATACCAAGGAGTCAAGCCAGAGTCAGAAGTCAGAGCCAGGACTGGTAAATGATTGGCAGAAGTGAGGCATAAAGGCAGGAACCAGAGGAGAAGAAAGGATCAGGCATGAAGCAGCAGCACAGTGGGAAACAGGAGCAAGAGCAGGGGTAAGGAGCAGAGTAGGAATCAGGAACAAGATTGAATGCAGGCACCAGTAGGATCCAACACAGCAGCAACAGGCAATCACCAAGTTGCTCAGACAATTTCCTGTGCCTCCCTCTGTCTTAAATAGCATGGCTGGACCAATTGGTGAAGCCAGGCAATCCTCCAGTCAGGACTCCTGTGGGTGGTACCTTGGCTGAGGCTGTAGTTCTGCTAGCTCATTGGCCCACGAAGTTTCAGCAGACATCAGGTGGTGGCCAAGATGTGGTGGCTCTCTGGGAACTCCCAAGCCTGGGTTTGAGGACTGGGACATCACACCTGCTATAAGTTGTGATCTGCGCCAGTGCAACTTTACCTCTGCTTGAAACTGGGGTAAGACGCACTGTTGCAAAACGTGTCTTAAAAAGGGCATTGCCTGCCTACTCTAGGAGTTCACATCAATGCACCTACCTATGTCAGTACCATCAATGGTTGAAATCAGAGCAAATCATCAGCGTACATGGCACCATCACATAGTGACACAAGTTAGAGCACATTAATTCTCTTAAGCACACTGGGTGCTTGGGAGGCTTTACTTAATATTCTGTGCATGTGTTTTGGCTATCATAAAAGCTCTACATGAATAACACTGAACTGAATTTTATTATACAAATGAAGTTACTGTCATGGACTAGCACATAGGCAGCCATATCTGGTGGTCATGCCTAGTGGTCAGAGCAGGAGACAGGTGCCTGGAACCAGAGGCAGGGGTCGGAGACAGAGTCAGGAGTCAAGCTAAGGGTCAGATCTGGAGTCAGCAGCCAGGGGTGGAGGTGTAGAACCAGGGATCTGGTACAAAGCAGGAACCAGGAGTAGGGCAGGAAGGCAGGAGTCAGACAAGGTCCAACATAGCAGCTAGGCAGGAATTCATCTAGGTCCTCAGATAACTTCTTCTGCCTCCTTCTAGCTTAAATAGTGAGTCTGAGCCAATTGAAGAGGCCGGATGTCTCTTCCAATCAGGAGCTTCATGGGTAGTGCCTCCATTTTGAACTACAATCCATCAGCCCACACTCCATGTTGGTACCAACAAGCTGCTAGGTGATGGCTGCATCTGGGGCAGGGGTGCCAGATCCTTCATGAAAGTGGGGGGCCATGAGGCCATGCCCCCTCCATGGCCCTGCCTCTCCTCTTCCCTCTGAGGCCCCACCCCCAGGTCAGAAGCCGGAGCCTGGCCAGGATAACAGCTGCCCAGGCAGCTGTGGGGAGCCCTGGACCCTCCACCTGCCCTGAGTGGGGGGCCCGAGAGCAGCC